ATGCATATTTCCACTGAGATCAGTGACTTTTGATGTGTATCCACCAGTGATCAGTCAAGTAGAAACAGCCAAAATATTTTATCAGATTTTCTCAATTTTTGCATGATATTTTCATACAGGACATCTGTTGTTCAAACTCAGGGAAGACTTTATACTAATGAATAAGGTGACCAAGTTTGATAAAGTTTGGAATAGAATTAGTAAAGTTATTAAGAACACAATAACAATTATTAACGACGACGACAACAACAACAACGCCGGACAAAATTTTTCCCTTAATATAACCTTTTCCTTCCATCTTTGATGGTACGGGCAAGGTAAAAACAATCAGGTTTTTGATTTAAAGTATGCTGCTAAAAATGTTTTACTTACCAGTCACTGCATTTATAGACAGAAACAACTTTCATTTGTGTTATTTTTTTTGAACAGCACCTTTGCAGAAATATTGTCAAAAGCCTAAGTTTCAATGGCTTTCAGTAGCCCACTCAAACATCGCTATAGTAAATTAGGATGGATTGGCAAGATACAATACACATACCGTAATACACATGTACCAGCAATAACTTAACTTTGGTTTCACTTACAAAATAATTTAATAAAATTGCATTAAATTTAAAGTGTAATAAAGATTTTCACAGTAAATCAAGGTTGTAGCTGTTATTAGTTTGTGTCTGGTTCATTTGTTTGATTCAACACAAATTTCCTGTGCAGCAACATCATTTTGCTATAGCAAGATGCATGGTAGTGTTGAGTGGGCAGCCAACAACCAAATGTGAATAACACCTACTCTGGCTAGAATCTAGAACTAGAATCCAGGGCTAGACTTACCTCAACACTAGTCTTTGGTAGTTTTTGTTCAGCCCATGTTTTGAGTTTGATATCAACAGTAGTATTAAACACTCTGCAAAAAAAAACACATGAACAAGTCATGTCACTGCAATCAGCATTTGCATTCAGCCATTTTTAATCCGATCTGAAAAAACATTACAGTCTTGTTTATACATATATGAACGGACACTAGCTGTCCATGTATAAATAAGATTCGGGTCCCAATGACAGAAATGCTTGATTTTGAGGAATGATCAGTCAAGCATGTCAGAGACACAACACTCAAAACACATTCATTAAAACAAAATTTCAGTTATCCATTTTAAATCCGAAAAAACAAAATTGTCAGTTGAAAGTCAACAAAATGACTTGTGATGTACCAATTTTGAAAAAAAAAACAGTCCAGGCATGCACAAAAAATGACGGAAACAACATTTAACCCTTTATAGCCTTTGTACCAAACTTAACTTGAATCTGTACAATCATCTCTGTAAAATGAGAAGAACACTCATAAAAAAAAAATGGCCACCAGTCTGCCATTTTGAATTGAATCACGAAAAAAATCATGTGCATCAGTAACCCACCATGACTGATGTCAATGCCGAGTTTGAATGAAATCAGTCACAGTATATTCGAGAAACGGTTGATGACATGTCAAAATGTTGATTTTTGGTGTTTTTTGGAGAAAAATGGCCACCAGTCGGTCAAAGGTCAACCAAATAAAAAATAAATTGATATTTTCTTCTATTATGACTTGTCTTTGTACCAGTGTTGAAGAAAATCTGTACAGGTGTCTCTTAAAAATGACGACGGACACAGGCAAGCACGGACAGACACACAGATGGAACCCAAAACATAAGTCCCTATTTCGGACTATGTCCGATGGGGATTAATAAGGGTATCAATCACAGTAATAAATTTTGAAATTAAGTTTGAAAAACACAATAAAAATCTGGATCATCATTGAGAAAATTATGATATTTCTAGAATGTGATTTTGTGACCTACCCTGGGCTATCAGCTTGTGCAGCAGGCAGGTAAATCTGTTCAAACACATAGCCTGACACTCTCTCCCACAGTATCTTGGAAATTGCTGATTCCCTGTATGAAATGAAAAATATTACCGGCATCAATAATATTTTACGAATGATTAAATATTGATTGACGTAATCATGATTGTATTCTCACCAGAAAATTAATATGCTGGCCGAAATTGTTCTCTGACTTAAGAGAATAACTGATGATTACCCCTCATGTGTGGGACTTGAGGCAGAGACATGAAGTATTCTGTGGCTAATGTTTTGATGTCCAGTTGCAAGTTTTTAATTTTGACCATTGTTTTAACCTGTTCTATTTATGATAGAGCTTTGAAATTTTCATAGAATAATTAGATATACATGTATATATAATTATTCTATAAAACATAAAAAGGTAATTTTGATTAATATGCAAAAAAAACTCTACTACCCATTACATCCTTAATTTACAATTTTATAACTTGTCTGTACAATTGTTCAATATAAAAACAGGTTTGTTTTATGAAATTGTGTTTTACTTTCCTACTAACCATGACACAACACACCAGGTCAGCAGACCACAGGATTCAAACCAACAATTTCAGTGGCAGTGCATGTGCATGACAAGTATTCCTACACAGTCAGTGCATACAAGATTCATCAACAGCACTTTCTTTCAAGAGATATAATTACGTTTTTATTCATTACACAAGTTTGTGAGCTGAAACCAAGTGTTGCAAAGTCTTACCATTGTCTTGGTGATATCTCTCCCAACCTCAGCACCTCATCTAATATTTCTCCTTTAGCTTTCTCAAAAAGTTCATCCTGAATGAGTAAAAAAATCAGATAGTTATGCATTCCAAGTGCACATCCTCCACATCCCTACCATAAAGACTTCATATACCCCACATCCCTAATTCACACACCTTATCCAATTCCTTTCTCATCTCTACTACTCATGCTTCACATACCCATCCAATTGCCCCACATCCCTACCACAAAGGCGTCACATACCCCACATCCCTAATCCAATCCCTTCCATCCCTACCACTCATGCTTCACATACCCTATCCAATTTTCCCACATCCCTAATTATCCCTAATTCACATACCTTATCCAATTCCCTCACATCCCTACCACAAAGACTTCACATACCCCCACATCCATAATTCACATTCCTTATCCAATTCCCTTCCATCCCTACTACTCACGCTTCACATACCTCATCCACTTCTCTCACATCCCAACCACAAAGGCTTCACATACCCCACATTCAAATTCACATACCTCATCCAATTCTCCGACATCACTACCACAATACCCCACATCCATAATTCATACCTTATCCAATTCCCTCCCATCCCTACTGCTCATGCTTCACACACCTTATCCAATTACCTAACACACATGCTTCACATACCCCACATCCCTGATTCACATACCCTATCCAATTTCCCACATCCATAATATCCCTAATTCACATACCTCATCCAATTCCCCCACATCCCTACCACATACTTCACATACCCCACATCCATAATTCACATACTTCATCCAATTCCCTCACATCCCAACCACAAAGGCTTCACATACCCCACATTCCAATTCCCCGACATCACTACCACAATACCTCCCATACCCAACATCCATAATTCATACTTTATCCAATTCCCTCCCATCCCTACTGCTCATGCTTCACACACCTTATCCAATTCCCTAACACACATGCTTCACATACCCCACATCCCTGATTCACATACCCTATCCAATTTTCCCACATCCCTAATATCCCTGATTCACATACCCTATCCAATTTCCCCACATCCCTAATATCCCTGATTCACATACCCTATCCAATTTTCCCACATCCCTAATATCCCTGATTCACATACCCTACCCAATTTCCCCACATCCCTAATATCCCTGATTCACATACCCTACCCAATTTCCCCACATCCCTAATATCCCCGATTCACATACCCTATCCAATTTTCCCACATCCCTAATATCCCCGATTCACATACCCTATCCAATTTCCCCACATCCCTAATATCCCTGATTCACATACCCTATCCAATTTCCCCACATCCCTAATATCCCTGATTCACATACCCTACCCAATTTTCCCACATCCCTAATATCCCGATTCACATACCCTATCCAATTTTCCCACATCCCTAATATCCCGATTCACATACCCTATCCAATTTCCCCCACATCCCTAATATCCCTGATTCACATACCCTACCCAATTTTCCCACATCCCTAATATCCCTGATTCACATACCCTACCCAATTTTCCCGCATCCCTAATATCCCTGATTCACATACCCTATCCACTTTTCCCACATCCCTAATATCCCTGATTCACATACCCTACCCAATTTTCCCACATCCCTAATATCCCTGATTCACATACCCTATCCAATTCCCTAACACACATGCACATTCACATCCCCGATTCACATACCCTACCCAATTTTCCCACATCCCTAATATCCCTGATTCACATACCCTATCCAATTCCCTCATCCTTGGAAAGTTATTCTTCCACTCAGTTTCCAGGTTAAATCTGAGTGCTTTAAAACTGTCTGCTTGTTGCTCCACCGATTCCCGGACCATTTTCCAAAAACAATCAGACACGGCAAAGCTAAGGTTCTGCGTGGTCATCTGACTCGGTTTTAATGTACCAGTCCTGGATATGAAATGCATTACTATTAGGCAGAAATTGAAGACCAAAACAAATCGAATATGGATGCATCTACTGTAATGATATGATGATGTTGAATAGCTAACATTCATCTACAGATGAATAATTTTTATCTTTTGCTTTCAATGACATTTTGACTGGACATGCACATGTACATGAACAATATGGGAATATGGTTCTGTAAAATCCAGCAAATATAATTTTTTCACTACAGTACATTTTACATTCAACTCGTCAAAAATCAGTGAAAATAAATTCCATATAAAACACCAAACAAGCAGCCTCTCGGCTGAGATAGCTCCGCTGTTAGCAATGCACATTTCAATTAAAGAACAGAAGTTATCATTA